AAAGGGGGGAGGGAAAAATGTTGCACCCTCGAAAAAAAAATTGTAATATCTTATGAAATTTCACCGTGAAACCGTTTTTTTTTTTTTTTTTTTTTTTTTGTTTTTTTGTATTAGGAAAGGTTTTTCCCCAATTAGTTTTACTACATAATAATCAAGGTCGATCATAAAATAAGATCGAGTATCATAAGTCAATTTCGTAATTAATTACAATCCATTCAAATTTAAAATTAATAATTTTCTCTCTCTCTCTTTCTTCGCACCGTGTTTTCATGCATGCATGGGAAAAATATTATTTGACGAAATCGCTAATTTTTTTTTTTTTTTTTTTCAAGTCGTGATACTCGTGAGATTTTTTTTTTCTCTCTCTCTCTCTCTTACTATTAATTACGAGTCATTTAAAAAAAAAAAAAAAATGGATGACATTGGAAAAAATTATTATTATTATTATTATTTTGAAATAATAATAAGTCCGATAAAAATTTCGGTAAAAAAATTTTGAGCATTCGAGTAAGAGAGGCTTACTGAAAATTTGAAAATGTTTTTCCTTTGCGACATGTGCGTTGAATTTTATTTACCCTCTCCTTTTTTTCCCACGTTTTTTCCAATCAATATCCGGTTTTCAATATTTTTTTTTTTTACAGATTGGAAATATATCGAATTTATTTCCGGTTTTGTAATTTTTCCACCATCGAAATTTAAATTTTTCATTTTTTTTATTTTTTTTCATTTCAAATTGAATTTATTTGTAAAAAAAAAAAAAAAAAAATGGAAACGTTTTCTTATCACATACGTTATCATAATTATCATTATCGTAGAGATGAAAAACAAGAATGATTTGTTTAAAAATATTTTGCCATCTTTTTTTTATGATGATGATGATGATGGTAAAGGGAAAATTGGGTTTTTATTGGGGCGCCCACGTTCTTTGAAAAATTTCATTAGGAATCGAATAAAAAATTGAAACGATGCATACGAAATCATCGACCGTAGAATTTATAATAATGATAATAATAACGATGATGATGATAATTTTCAATCGATAACCAATTGAGTAATTTTTTATAAAAAAGTCATCATTTGCGAAAATAGAAAATAAATAAATCCTAAAAAATCAATAATGTATTGCGATGATTATATTAATAATGATGATAAATAATACTTGAAAAGAAAAGGTACGGATAAGAAAAAGGAAAAAAAAAATTAGTTTATAGTCTGGTAGAGTGAAGCGAAGAAACGGATAAAAAAAAAAAAAAGTAATAATCTGCGGAAGAAAAGAAGCGAACAAAAATTTAATTTAATTTACGGTTAATTTAGTATTTACGGTCTCATTGTCTAATAAAAAAAAAAAAAAAATTTATTTGTTTTTGAGAAAGAGAAATGAGGAAAATGGTGATGGTGGCTCCGCGTTCATTTACGTATATATATACATACAATTTTTTTTTTTTTTTTTTTTTTTTGCGAGAGTTTTCTTTTATCCTCCTTCCTTTTTCCCTTTCTCATCACTTTGCTACACGGTTACAACATTTTTCTCATTTCCCATCTTTTTTTTTACCCTTACTACCCTTTTTTTATGACGATATAAATACATTTTTGGGGTTGAAATTTCAAGCCGGTGCAGAATAGGTTTTGCGAGAGAGAGAGAAACGGCGGGTGAAGGGGGAAAGTAAAAATAAGAGGGGATTGAGAGAAGAGAAAGTTATTACAGTTGGTCCCGGCAATATTGTTTTGTTGGCATCAATGATTTATTGAAAAAATGTAATAAATTAATGTAAACCATTCGAGGAAGGAAGGAATGTGATGAAATTTTTAAATGGCTTTTGTTTAAAAAAATTTTTTTTGCCAAGAGTTTTGTGAGCTTTTACGTTAAATTAATCTTAACGAAGGTGTTTGACAGGTCGCCGCAATGTCATCATGTTTAAAAAGAATTAACCAGCCTTGCGAAATAATCGTTTTTCTATAAAGGACCGATAATGGTTTTCTTCTTCGTCTTCTTCTGTAAAAATTTCAATTGAAAAAATTTAAAAAAAAAAAAAAGTGTTTTTCTAATAGTCGTGAAAGGTTTTTGTCACGGTTTTTGTCACGTTGTGAATCAAGTGCCACATGTCCTAAATTACGTCGTGCGGTTCATTGTCAAATTGTCAAAATAAAAAAAAAATGGGGGGTGGGGTAAATCCGAAGGATTTGTCAGTAAGAGAAAAGTAAACGTTGAGATGAAAAATTTAATGAGTTTGTATGAATGCGTAGAGGAGTCGATAATTATTTAGTCTTTTGAGATGTCAACGTTGTAAAATAAAAATCGTTTTGATAAGGATTGTTTTTGAACAAAAAATTTAATATTAATAATAATAAATCTTGTGTTTGTCGAACGTGAAGTGAAATTAATTTCTTCGTCATTATTGAAAGTTTAAAAAAAAAAAAAAAGAAAATCTCATTCACGAAAAATGTTCGATTGATCGAGAAAAGAAACACGAGCGAAGAGAGAGAGAGAGAAACTTTACATGAGATGATTAAATTATTATACAATGAAATTTATATACCGTCGAATCGACCATAAAAATATTTAAAAGTTGAAATAACGACATGAATCAAACAAGGTGCGGACCTGATATTAACATTCTCTCTCTCTTTTTCTTATCCTGGAACGTGTTTTATAAGCTTACATTTTTTTTTAATTTCCAAACAAAATTTTCGTATTTAAATTTCATTATTGCACATTTTTTTATAACATCGACTTGTACAAACAAATTAAAATTCCGCAAAAGCCTGATTGGGGGAAATTCCAACGAGTAATTTTAAGGTATCGATATAGAGTTTACTGAACAAAAAAACAAAAAAAAATTAATAATTAGAAATTAATTACTTGATTAAAAGAAGGGATAAATTTTTATTCGTGAGTAAAAAAAAAAAAAAAAGTTATTTTCTTTTGCGAAAGACATTCATTCTGTGTGACCTTTTCTTTATATTATTTTGATTGAAGGTCGTTTACCGCCATCTCATTCTCCTTACGCACGCACGCATATACATTTTTGCATGCAAACGCGATACGTTTTGGGAAAAACTAAAAGGAAACAAACAAACAAAAAAATTATAATAATAAAAGTTAAAAAAATCTTTTGTGACTCTGTCACAAAAGATTTTTTTATTTTTTCGTTGTTATTATTATTATTATATACTGTTTGTTCCTGTTTGCCCCTCTTTGTCGCACGTTTATTCAATTAAAAAAACGCGCACGAGACCCTCTTTCATTCTAAACAATAAAAAAAAAAAAAGTTTAAATTACCTTGCAACGAAACCGACCGCCTTGTTGAAATAAAATCGCGTTTGCATTTTTAAAATCTCGATTGCGTTTGCTTAAACGTCCTACTATCGTAAACATAACGTTATGTTAATAAAAAAAAAAAAAATTTGAATGCGTGCGCGGAGGCTCTACTAGTTTTTCGCCCGATGTTTGCCATAATTATTTTTCGTTTCAAATTAATATTTTTGCCTTTGGGAAATTTTTTCGCCTCTTTTTTCCCCTCTAAAATAATTACGTGATGCCTTAAACGGTTGTTGCCTTGAAAAGAAATAAAATTCCTTTCTTCTTTCCTTCCCTTTTTTCCCTCCCGTATACCGATTGATTGCTCTCTCTCTCTCTCTCTCTCTCTCTCTCTCTCTCTCTCTCTCTCTCTCTCTCTCGAAAAATGCGATAATGTCATTTTTAACACACCTAATGTTAATTAAGGTAGCCACCGTCTTTTTTTCGTTATTAAACGTGATGCGTGTTTGTTATTTATATTAAAAGCTCCTCATGCCCACTCGTGTCAACTAAAATTCACCCAAAAAATTTACTTAATTAATTTTTCCTTGAGCTTACTTAAAAAATTTTCGTTTGAAGTTTTTCATACGTGCGAAATTTAATATTCGAATAATTTTTTTTTTTTTTTTTTTTGCGAGGTCGAGTCGGTTCGATCGTATGAAAAATTTAATATTTCGAATATCAGGTAATGGCGTGGAAAATTTTTTTTTTTTTGTAGTCCCTCCCCACCTCGGTCTCGAATCGAAATGTTGGTTTTAGTAAAAATCATCATCATTCGGAACAATTCTTCTTTGTTTGGTTTTCTTGTTTTTTGTTAACTTTAAATAATTTTGCTAAAATAATTGTTGATACTATAAAAGATGTCGTTTGAATATGCAAACGTAAGGCGGAAAAAGAGAAAACTGGAAAAAGTATGGAGAAAAAAAAAAACCGATTGTTTAACGTGTAATTAAAATTTTGAACTCTCACCAGAGATTTGTTTTTTTTTTTTTTTTATTGTTATTTCCGCGTTGGTTATTAGTTTTGAACTGAATCGCAAAACTAATTATTTTTATCCTGTCGGTTTTAATAATATTAAATACTTTCATGACGCCATTAAAATTTTTTTGCATACAATTTTCAACCGTGACTGAATTGAATTCTCCTGGTATCTGGTGTTGTTGGTAGTTTACTTTTACGTTTTTTTTTTTTTTTTTAAATAATTGTTACGAAATTTTTTTAATAATGAATGGTTTTCTCTAAGAAGGTGTCGTCGTTTTCGTCTTTCACGTGGCAACAAGACGATTTATTCGCGTGGGATTTGTATGGTTTTTGAATTGAGAAATCGATAATATAATTGTTACGATAGCGAAATTTAAAAAAAAAAAAAAAACGTTTTGTTTTTGTTTGTTTTGAATGAATGAATGAACCGCACCTTACGAGATCGTAATCGATCGATTTTTTTTCTTTCTTTCTTTCTTTTTATTCCGTTAAAAAAAAAAAAATATTCAACATTCCATCGTTCGTTCGTGTCGAATCGATCGAGGTGAAAATTTCAAAGTTTTAAATTATTAAATTTTGCTTTCGCAGTGAAAATCGTTAATCAAAGATTTTTATTGTAAAAGGAATACGGGGGAGAAAAAAAATAAAAACTCGGTGAATATTTTGTAGTTGTTGGTGTTGTTGTTGTTATATTTCTGTGTATGATTTTGTAACAATAAAAATGAGGGGAAACGGAAGTCCCGTCGTGACTGAAAACTTGACTTACAACGATCCGACGAAAAATGGAAATTATTTCTCAAGACAGCAGCAGCAACAACAACAGCATTGGATGAGTCCTTATGGGAATTCGCACACTAAATGGCAGGGACCGACTTGGAAATCCGTCGGTTCCGGAAATCATCAGACTGAGACGGTGAGTTTTTCTTTCACCTTACATGCTCTCAACTTCTTTTTTTCCCCCCCCTTCTGGTAGTCTGCAGGGAAAAAAAGAGATATATATTAAAAGGTTTGTTAAATGTTGAACGAGAGGAAAAAGAAAAAAAGGTTGAAAGGGTTGAATTTAATTACATCATCCGCGTGTGAGATTCGTCAGACGGTTGCTACAGGGAAAAAGTTTTGTTACTGTTTAGCAAATCGGTATTATTATTATTATTATTATTATTATTATTATTATTATTATTATTATTATTATTATTTTAAATGTTTTTTCTCTCCTGCTTTTATTAATTTCTCTTTTGATAAATGATTTGAGAAAAATAACGAACGAAAAATAGTTCGAAGGAGTAATCTTTGCGACATTTTTAATCAGATCATTGGTCATCTCTCCGAAATTGTTTTCAATGGTAAAAATTCGTGCCAAAAGAAAGTCGACCAAATCTCATTAAAAAAAAAAAAAGAAAAAAAGCGAAACTAATTGAATAGTCACTTAAATATATTATTTGTGTAGTGGATAAGTTACGAAGAGAGAGGAAGGAAGGAAGGAAAAGAGATGAGAATCGAAATGAAGAGAGAGAGAGAGAGTGGAAGAAAGATTTGAAATCATCATTAAATATAATTCACGATTGAATCGAAAAAAGTTTTTTTTTTTCTTTTTTTTTTAATAATAATTTTATGTGCCGTCGTTTTGATTTAACCGAGTTAATAATGAAAATTTTTCTTCTTCTTTCTCTCTCTCTTTTTCAAATCCGTTTCGTGTTCCATATTTAAAAAAAAAAAAAAAAAAAAATGTCGGAATTTTTACTGAATAATTTACAAGAATATTATAATGTTTGTTTGTAAAGGTTCGCATTCGCTTGTTTTTCATATTAAAACCCAAAACTTTTATTTAAAAAAAATAAATTTTGTAAAAAAAAAAGGTTATTAAAATTAATTTAAAAAATTATTGTGACGTAAATGGCGGCGCCCAAAAGTTTAACAGGAAAATAAAATTTTTTTTTTTTTTAAATATTAAAATATCGAATTTTGCAAATCTCCCGCGTGATATTGTAGATGTAATGATGAAGTTGAAAGTTGAAATTTTTTCGAAGTTTCCCCCCCCCCTCTTCCCGGGGGAAAAAGGTGGGAACGGGGAGAAAAGGAATACGGGAAGGAGGGTGGGGTGGGAATTACAAAGGATGACGACGAGGAAAGGGAAAAGAAATTATTTTTTTAATACGTAAAAAACGAGAGAAATTGAAACTTTTTCTCCGACCAACGTTCGTAATTTAAAGTTTTAAAATGTTTCGTTTTTAAGCTAGTTTGTACGAACAAACAAAGTTTTTCTCCAAAATTTTTTTTTTTAAAATGGAAAATTTTTGGAAAAATAAACTACTGTCACGTAGAATCAAATTTGAAAAACTAAAAAAAAAAATTTTTTTTTGGGGGGGAAAAAGTCGATATTTGTTAAGAGAGAAAATTTTGACAGTGATATGTTATTATTATTATTGTTATTCGATTTTGGAATTTTTTTTTTTTCTTTTTTCTTTTTCTCTGCACGACAAAAAATATCACGTGAATAATTTTTCCGTTTTCTTTGTCTACTTGCAGCAGGTGGACCCCGAGTTGATCTTTACGAAGCAAGAAAAAATCGGAAAAGGTTCGTTCGGGGAAGTTTTCAAAGGGATCGACAACAGGACGCAACAAGTCGTGGCAATCAAAATAATAGATTTAGAAGAAGCCGAAGATGAAATCGAAGACATACAACAGGAAATTATGGTTTTGTCACAGTGCGACAGTCCGTTCGTCACGAAATATTACGGATCATACCTGAAGGTTCGTTATTATTATTATTATTTTTTCTTCTTCTTCACTCCTTCGTTCGAAAGAAAGGTTAATTTGTCTGCTCTCTCTCTCTCTCTCTCTCTCTCTCTCTCTCTCTCTCTCTCTCTCTCTCTCTCTCTCTCTCTCTCTCTCTCTCCCTTCAAAACAAAAAAATTTACATTTGTTCATAACTATCTCTTATTTATTAACGTGGTGGTAAATAATTACCAAATTCATTGTTTGTGGCATTTAGGTCGTGCAAAATCGAAGGTTAACGTGTTGTGTTGATGATAGTGTTTAATTTGTTTTTGTTGTTTGTTGTTGTTGATGTTGTTGTTGTTGCAGCGATTTCTCTTAAACTGTTCAATTACCCACAAAGTGAGTGATGGAAACGTATGTAAAAAAAAAAACGTATGAATATTAATCAGTTTGATGTTTAAGACAATTCTAATTATTATTATTATTATTAGAGTTAAAGTTAAAGTTAATTTAAATTAATTTAATGTGTTTACAGTCATTAAATTCGAGACGTGAATTAAATTGAATTTTTTTTTTTGTTTTCGTAGTCTGCAAACAAACGAGTGAAAACAAACAAATAATTCAGGTCTTAGATTTCGGTCATTATTTCTCAGCACGTCTTGTACGCGATGATGATTGATGGTGATGGAATATTTTTGGTTAAAATCCGTTTGTAAAAAAAAAAAAAAAACCCTTACCGTCGCATTTTTCTTTTCTTTTAATTTTTTTTTTTTTGTCAAGGTTATCTTGTGCAGAAAAATAAATTTGAAAAGATTTTTTTGAATGATGACGACGTGTAAAGGAAAACAAATTTTAAATTTCTTTTAGTTTGGTAAGAATAAGAAAAAGAAAATTGTCGAAAGGTCACGTGATAAATTGAAAATCTTAACAGCAGCATCTCATAAGCAGAATAAAATTACTTCATGAATAAAAAAAAAAAAAAAGGTCGAGTGAAATAGGAAAAGAAATAAAAAAAAAAAGAGAGGGAGAGAGAAAGAAAATGAAAGAAACAAGAGAGATGGAAATTGGAAAAAAAAAGGAAAAAGGGGAGGATGAGGGAGGGTAGTAGGGAAAGGGGGAGGGGGAACGGGAAAAAATGGAAAGAGAAAATCTTTTCTGTGGAATTTTCGAAGCGTTTTGGGAAAATTTCCAGAATATTTGGAGTCGTAACGTAACGGTTGACATCTTTTTATTTTTCCTTTCTCTCTCTCTCTCTCTCTTTCTCTCTCTCTTTCTTTCTCACTCACTCTGTCTTCTGCATTTCCTTTTTTTTTTTTATTGTCCTCGTTTATTCATTTCACGGTCACATTCGTCCGTAAGATTTTTCATTACTGAAATAAAACTTTTACTGGTTTTTTTTTTCTTTTCTTATTCCAATTAGTTTTTTTTTTTTCCATCGGTGATGTTCTTTTTAGTTTTAACTACCAACAGTTTTCTGTCGTACGACGAATATAAATATTCCTGCAGTGATATCGATCGAATTTGATTGTGTATAGTCGCAGTCGGAATTTATTTTAATAATTTTTTCGTTTATTTTTTTGTCCATGTTGAATTCTGTAGCGATCTTAAACGAAATAAACAGGAAGTAAAAAAAAGAAAAAGCCAAATTACGTTCTCGACGTTTTCCCCCCAATAAAATCTTTTTGTTTCTCTCTCTCTCTCTCTCTCTCTCGCTCTTTCTCTCTTTTTCTTTCTCCCTTTTTCTTTCTCCCTTTTTTCCAATAATAATAATAATTAAAACGTTTTCCAATTTTCAAATTAAATTAAAAAAATTTCCTTTCTTTCTTTTATCATCATCATCGTCGTCGTTGTCGTCGTCAACGACATCGTATCGCAAGGTTGTTTAGGTGACGAATCGCATTCCTTACTTCCTGTTTAAATTGTCAGGCGCGTTTAAGTATTTTATTTCCGGTCGTGTAATAATTATTGTCGTCTTCTTTATTTTTACGATTCATCTAAGGCACGATCGCATTTTTATTATTATTATTATTTTTTTTTTTTTTTTTGAGTTTTCTTCTTTTTTTTTTTTTATAGGTGTTGGTGGTAATGTTTATGTCATAAATTTTTTAATTTTTTTTTATGTTCGTCCGTGGAATTATTTATTGTTCGATTAGGGGTGCGAAACGTTCAGATCGAACGAAATCGACTTTTAATTTCATTCGCATTTCTCCGGGTTTCAGTCCTTTGAAATTTTCATTTATTCTCTTAGTCATTATTCATTTCTCAATAAAATAATAATAATAATAATAATAATAATAATAATAATAATAATAATAATGGCGGGTAAATTAAATTTGAGACTGGGCGAAATGTTTTTTTTTTTTTCCGCATGTGTATTGTATTAGGTAGGTTTGTAATGTTTTGAATTTCTTTTTAACCAAATATTATTGTTTTGCCTCCCACATCATCATCATTATTATTATTTATTTTTTTGAACAGTTTAAGAGTAGTTGCGGGGGTAAACATTTTGTTTAAACACTTTGGCAAATTTAATTTTTGATAAACTTTTTGTTTTTTTTTGTTTTTGTTTTCTATGTTTGTGTGTTAAGTATGCAGGAAAATGAAGTTCAAAAGGTTAAAAACATTTCGCGGTTCATTACGTAACGATTTCTATTTCAAAAAAAAAAAAAAACTGATAAAATATTGATTTTCCTTTTCTTTTTTTTTCCCAACGTCTGTGCTTTTCTTTTCTTATTTTGTACGATTGTAAAAAAAAAAAAAAAAATTTGATAAAAAGAAAATGGCGTCGCACGATGAAAATGAAAAAAGAGGAAGAAGAAAAAATAATCCTGAAAAATTAAAAAAGCTTTGATAAAAATGTCGAGATGTGAAATTTTTGTTTTTTTCAAAAAAATTAAAAGAAAAACAAGTTTAAATTTATTTTTTCCAAAAAAAGGGAAAATTAATATAAATTAATAAAAATAATAAGGAGAGAAAAAAAAAGAAGAAACGGCGCAAAAATATAATTTGAAAGAGTAAAAGCTTTTTTTTTTTATTTAGGAAGTTAAGTAACTTTTATATATTTATTTGGATGGTCGACTTTTCTTTTTTCCTTTTTTCTTTTTTGTTTTTTTTTTCCAGGTCAAAATGGCGTCTTTCGCATTTTAAAATTCTTCTTGTATAATTTTTCCCAAAAATTTATCTCGCGGGCCGTTTGCCATTTATTGTTCTTTTCATATCCTCTTTTTTATTTTATTTTATTTTTAATTTCTTTTTTAAAAAAAAAAGCTCGTGGCGCAATGACGCAAAAAAATTTATTAAAAAAAAAAAAAAAAAAAACGCGAGACGGTGTATTATGCAAGGAATGAAAAAACAAAAGAAAAGTAAACGTAGGATTCAAATAAAAGAATAAAATGTTTCACAATAAGGAAAGAAAGAAAGAAAGAGAGGAAAAAAAAACGATTTCTCGAATTCACGTTTTTCAAACTAAATCGATTAAATCGATTTATTTTATTAGATCGATTCGATCTCACGATAAATTTTTGTTTTTAATTTCATCAATTTATTATTAACTGTCGAAACTATTCTCCCCTTTTCTCTCCCTCCCCCTTCCCCCCTCGAGATGTAATTTCTCGATCGGATGAAGATGTATACCTTTTTGTTTTTTAATTAAGATTTTTTTTTTTTTTTTTTGGATCGATTTGTCTTTGAATCCTTTTTTGTGTGTGTGTGTGCGTGTGCGTGCGGCGTTGACGATGGATTAAGGTGAAATGCTTTCGTGAAAAATTTTTTTTTTTTGCAGTACATTATTACATTTTCCAATGCGTTTTTCCATACGTCCCTTCTAAAAAGTTTTTCTTTTCACTTTTATTTCCGAACGAAAAATATTTTCCTTATAATTTTAATTAATATTATTGGTTTTTGACGTTTTTTAAATATTTCGAATAATTTCAGCAGACGGAAATTAATATTATCATCGTGTTTGTTTTGTTGTAAATTGAGCTCGCGAGTGAGTGACTTCCTCCTTTTTTTTTTTTTTCCTTCTCTTACCGGAGTTTACAACATCCTTTCGGTTTATTTATTTATTCGATGTTTACTTTGTTTTTTTTGTTTTTGCATTATGTTTGCCTTTTTTCATTGGTTTCACTGTGTAAATTTTCAACCAAGTTTTTGTTTTATTAATTAAACGGAAATTTTTATTTATATTAGATTAGAACGTTTGTCAATTTCATTGTTTTTGCTTCTATTTTTTTTTCCATCTCTTTCTCTTTCTTTTTCTCTCTTCTTTTCCGTGTTTTAATAAAAAATAAATAAATCGTGTAAATTTTTTTTTTTAGAAATTTTGCGTTTTTTTTTTTAAATTTAAGTTTTAATTATTAGGTTTTTATCTTTTTTTTTTTTTTTTTTTTTTTTTTAAACGTAATTCGAAAGAAAATGTTATAGTTTTAATTTACAGTTAAGTATTACTTAGCCACGGGGTAATTGCAATTATCCCACGCTTGCCTCTCTCTCCCCTCTCTCTCTCTCTCTCTCTCGCGTTCCAACGGTGTAAAAATTTACTTTTCCTTATTTCTTTCTTTCTCTTTTTTTTTTTTATTTTTAAAATGTTTTCCAAAAAGTTTTTATCATCGTCAGTTTTCGAAAACCGTCATTATTGTCAGTCAGTCAGTCATCGACCTTTTTTTTTTTTTCAAATAGTCTCGTCGGGATGCCATTTTTTTTGTATTGATGCCAACGCGTCGCGCGCATTTGAATTTTTTTTTTAAATTTCAACGTGTTGTAACGTGCAGTCGTTTGTAAAGAATTTTAAGAAGGAGACAATTTTAAATTTGCTACTTGATAATAATAATAATAAGAAGAAGAAGAAGAAAGATTTTCCGCGTTTGACTCAACTTTTAAACATCCTGTCGGAACTTTTCTGTTTTTTTTTTTGACGCCTTTTGTTTACTTTTTCTTTGATAAAAAAGTTTTTTAATTTTTTTACCTTAGCTTCAAGGGCGATTGTGCGATTTTTTTTTTGTTTTTGACGTTTCAAACCTGTGAGTCACTAACGAATACCGCTTTTGCAAAAAAAATAAAAAATAAAAAAATGGTTTTGCCAATTTCGTGAATTGCGTGGAAGAAAAATAATGCGAGGATCACAATTTTAAAATATGTTGGTCAATCGAATGTTTAAATCTTTACGAACAAACGTTCGTCCTTTTTTTTCCTTGATATCAAATCACGATTTTATTCGGTACTACCATTAGAAAAACTTTACCTTTGACCTTACACGTTTGCCATTTGACCGCATTAAAAAAAAAAGAAAATTTATCTCGTTTCGCTCGCTAAACGAACGTCTCTCGTTGCTGCTCTCAATTCAAAAAAAATCGTTATTTAATTTTCTTAGTTTTTTTGTCTGTTTCTTTCTGTTTTTTTCTCCTTCGTCATCACCGATGAATGATTTTTATCTAATAATAATAATAATAATAATAATAATAATACATTCTTCGGTGCAGTTAACCCGAAATATCTTCGAACCGTTATTTTTATTTTTCGAAACATTTTTTTTTTTTTTTTTCGTACGCCGTACCGTCGCCGTAACGATTCGGGTTACATACATTTTCTATATCGAAAAAATAATAATAATTTTTCTCCCCTCACTGTTATTATTATTATTATTATTATTACTGTTACTACTACTACTACTAATAATAATAAAAAATGCGAAACGTGCATTTTACGAAAATTACCAATAAATGGTATTTTATTGTCGAAACGTTGAAAAATTTCATGGAAAAGTAGGTGGTTTCACGGAAAGGTGACCGCAGTGATTTTGAATTAAACGTCTCTTGGTGTTGGCACCACCACCACCACCATTATCCAGTCACTTTTTATACTTTTTCCTAACCGTGATTGATGATGAAAAACAAAATGAATTATTTGACTTATTTATTCCTTTCTCCGATTAGTTTATTTCTCTTCTCAGTAAAAAAATTTGGAATGTTTGCTTGGTCCGATTCGTTTTACTTTTTTTTTTTGACTCGTGTGCGTTCCTTTTTCTTAAACGAATTCAACTTGCATTTGAAAAATAAATAATTATTATTTTAATTTAATTTAATTCTTTGGAAGAAAAAAAAAATGGAAGACGGGAAGAAAGAGAGGAAAAGTAGAGGAGGTAGGGAGAGAGAGAGAAAAAGAATGGTAGAAAGGAAGTTGAGAAAAAAAAAAAAAAAACAAACATGAGAAAAACATTTTTTTAAAGAATAATATTAATAATAATAATAATTTTAGTTTTTATGTAAATTACAATAATTAAAATTCACGAATTTTTATTTATTTATATATATATATATTTATTTATTTATATACATATTTATTTTTTTTCTCTGTCATGATTATGGTTTACTGACGCGTTAAAAGTTCATTGTAAGTTTCATTTTATTTTTCAACTTTTTTCTCTCTCTCTCTCTCTCTCTCTCTTCTTCCCTTGTGGTTAACAATATCATTGTTTTTCATCCTTGAGGGTGTAATGAGTTTCATTATTATTATTATTACTTCAAATCGAATTTTCTTCTACTTTCCTGACGCTCGCTTATACAATGTCCAGAGATTTGTTATTTCGTTTATTATTAAATAAAAATTTGCCATCGTCCAAATGAAATTTATTTAAGGATAAAAAAAGTTTTTTTTTACAAGGACGAATGTCTTACTAGCATAGTAATAATAATAATAATAATAATAATAATTAGAATTTAAATTTGGGAAATTGCCTTCTCGATTTTTTAAACAATAAAGTGAAAATTACGCTAACAGGTTGCGTTTCAGGTTAGAGAAAATAACGAATAAATAAATAAATAAATATTAAAACAAATATTAAATATTATGATCGTTATCATTATCATTATTATTATTATTATTATTGTTTCCTCTTGCACCACGCAGAAATTTTGTATTTATCCATTCGAGAATGGAAAACCCTCGTGTGAATGTTGAAATCCTTGGTTGATTTTTCACAAAACCTTTTTCAGTAATTGAACAAGAGGTATCGATCACTCGATGCAATCTTCTCTTCAAGGCAATAATATTATTATTAGTATTATTATTATTATTATTATTATTATTATTATTATTATTATTGTTGGTTTTCGTTTCGATTAATTCTGTAGTAGACTGATTGTGAATGAACCGTAACACTCCTTTTCACGTTTCCAATCGATTTTTATCTTTAATCTAAATCAATCTCGAAATGCGATTCGTGCGATTTCATAATCATTCTTTAGTAGAATTTTTGGAAAATTCGACAAAAGAAAAAAAAAAAAAAAAGGAAAAAAAGGAAAATTCGATAAGAGAAAAAAAATTAATTGAAATTGTATGGCGGACGACGGTACAAAAAATAAATTGAAACTTTTTTTACCTTAATTTAGTGATAAGGTTAAGAAAGAAATTCTTTATCAAACGGTCACAAATTTCAAACGTTTAATCGATGGTTTTTCTTGTCGTCGTATGAAAGTAAAGGGAATGGATTTATTATTGTTTTCTCTCTCTCACTCTCTCTTTCTCTCTCTCTCTCTCTCTCTGTCTGGAACTTTCCAAAATCATTAAAAAAAAAAAAAAAACCGCTAACGTTTCGAAAATATTTTTTAATATCTTACTTTTATTATTAACTTCAATTTATTTATTTTTCTATTATTATTATTATTATTAGTGGAGTTAGTTTGGAGTGAAAAAGAATTATTATTATTATTATTACTTTTGTTTTTTTATTTTAATTCCACCATCTTTTCTTTTTTATTTTATTTTATTTTATCACGCTCGTTGAATTTTTATGATTTAATTTAATTTTCTCATTTTCCATGTCCAGGTTCGTTGATTAATTTTTTTTTTTTTCATTTACGTAATATTATTATTAACAGGGTACAAAACTATGGATAATAATGGAATATTTGGGTGCGGGTTCAGCTTTGGATTTGATGAAAGCGACCAATTTCGAAGAAATGCACATAGCAATCATTCTTCGGGAAGTACTCAAAGGTTTAGATTATTTACATAGCGAAAGAAAATTGCATAGAGATATAAAAGGTAAGCGGATGAAAATTGTTTTCTTTTTTTTTGTGTTTGTTTTTGGAAAACTCGTGATTAAAGCTGTTGTTTTTTTTTCCCCTCCCACTAAAATAGCGGCCAACGTACTTTTAAGCGAAATGGGTGACGTGAAATTGGCCGATTTCGGAGTCGCTGGACAATTGACAAACACGACGAGTAAAAGAAATACATTTGTCGGAACTCCATTTTGGATGGCACCCGAAGTCATTAAGCAATCGGCATACGATTCAAAGGTAAGAAACGATTGAAGAGTTTCCTAAATGTTCGAAATGTAACGAATCGCAAAGGAAAATTAATTTTTCCCGGGGGGTGGGGGGTAAAAATTATTATTATGGGATAGCGTGTGATAATCGATAGAGTAAAATTAAGTAATTTTTTTTTCCTAATCTCTCTCGTAAATCTTCGAACTTTATTTTCCTTTGAAAAGGTAAAAGGAAAAAAAAAGAAAAAAAAATTCTTTTGAAAAGGAAAAACAGGTGAGAAATTTAGAAAGTAATAAGAAATGTGTACAAAAGACACGAGGAGGTAAAAAAATTCACGGAGAAAGATAATTAAAAAAATTATTATTATTATTATTATTATTATTATTATTATTATTATTATCGTTGTTTTTTTTTTTTTTAACACTACTTTATTGCGTCCAATGAAACGCCATTGAAATTTTCATCTGCGTAATAATATAAAATGCGTGGATGTTGAATTGACCACAAACTTGCTTAACCAGACGCTGATTATTTCCCTTAAGGCTTTCTTTCTCTTTCTCTCTCTCCCCCCTCTCTCTCTCCATCATTAATCTCAATGTTTGAACATGTTTGTTACTTCACCCGGTAAATCTAGTTTTTGCAATTATTATTATTATTTTTTTTTTTTATATAATTTTGTTTTTTGGACAAACCGTTTCATCGTTTCCTATAACCTCAACCCCGATAATAAGGAAATCCATTAATAAATAAAAAATCTGTGTCAAAATATACGGCAAACCCATTTTGGAAGTATTAAACGCGGTATAATGATAATAATAATGATAAGGGGAGGAGGAGGATTAAATTTGTTATTAAATTTTTAAGTTTTTGATTGATTTTTTTTTTCAGGCGGATATTTGGTCGTTGGGCATCACAGCCATTGAGTTAGCCAAGGGTGAACCGCCAAATTCTGAACTTCATCCCATGAGGGTTTTGTTTCTCATACCAAAAAATAATCCTCCACAATTGACGGGAAATTATACGAAACAATTTAAAGAATTCGTCGAAGCTTGTTTGAACAAGGATCCGGAAAATGTAAGTAAAAAAAAAAAAGAGAGAGAGAGAAAGTGACGGTAATGAGAAAGAATTAAAGAAAAAAGGAAAGAAAACAAAACAAAACAAAAGGTTGACATGCTCAGAATCGTACGTACGTCATTTGTTGGGTCGTAAACGAGAAAAGCTTGTTAGAGTTGAAGAAAAAAAAAAAAAATTTTTTTTTTCTCTCAGCAACGCAGAAACTCAATAAAATAAAAAATATAAAATTTTATTATGTTTTTTTTTTCAATGGAAAAATGGTCGATTGTTTCCATTGTTTAAGAAATCGCGCGACTCCAAAAATTTTCTTCTTTCATTTTTCATTCTTTCCTTCTTTTTTCTTTCTTTCTTTCTTTCTTTTTTCCTTTTTATTCCCCTCTCATTTTGAACGTTTATTATTTATCCTTTTTTCCCTGTTTTTTAATGTCTCTTTCTTTTTCTCTCTCTCTCATTTTTTTTTCCTTTCATACCTTCTAGCTTTTTTTTTTTTGTTTCGCACTTTAAACCTTTTGGCTTTTACCAGAGCAAACAAAAGGCGATTTTTTTTTTTTTATTAAATTCATAAAATTTTTTTGACGTTACTTTTTCATAATTTGTCTCGGTAAAAGTTTATAATTTAATTTAGTTTTCCCTTCCCCTTCCTCCTCCCTTTCTCCTCCTCCCCATCTCCTATAATTTGCTCGTTGGGAGAAAAACAAAGAAACGAAGAAAGTAAATTTTTGTCGATAATAAAAATTAAAGATGGGAAAAAATAGAAAATTTTCTTTTTTTGATCGTTGAAAAATTGAATTTAATCTTTTGTACAAACTCTTTCTTTTGTTATTCTTTCAAGTCGTCTGAACAAAAAAAAAAGAAAACAAACAAAAAATAAAAATGTGGCGCCAAATGCTAGCGAGCAGCGAGCAAACAAACAACAACAAAAACAACAACGACGACGACGACGACGTCAAATGAAAAACAAAAAAAAAAAAAGAAAATTAATTTTGTCCCTGATTTTTTTTTATTTTGCATGAAAATGTTCTTTTTTTTCTGAACGAAATTATTATTATTATTTTTTTTTTTTTTTTGTATTTCAGAGGCCGACGGCGAAGGAATTATTAAAATTTTCATTTATAAGAAAAGCTAAAAAAAATTCGTATCTCGTGGATTTAATCGATAGGTATATTAAATGGAGAGCTCAGAGAAATGAAGAAAGCGAAACGGAATCAGAAAATTCAGACTCGTAAGTTAAAATAAATTTTTTTTTTTAATGATAATTGTTTATGAATGAATGAATGAACGAGAGAGAGAGAGAGAGAGAGGGTGGGGGATGATAGGAAAATAAAAACGTTTCTAGTATAACACAGAAGGGATGGGGGGGGAAGAGTCGAAAAGTAAAAAATTGACGTCGACGTACGTACGTAAGTTTAAATAAACTTTTACAAAAAAAGGGGGTTGTAGGAAAGAAATTATTACGAAGGGGATGAAAATGAAATGAAAGGATTAAGAAATTGACTAACAAGCGTAAGCGAAAAAACGTTCGTGTTTTACTATTTTTGTTGTCGTTTTTCAGGGAGGAATCGAAACCCGATAGCGACATGGACGAACCCTGGATAATGACAGTCAAAGGCGTTCACTCGTTACAAATTCAAACAGGTTCTCATTCGAGCGAAGAAACGTCAAATCACAAAACGACGTCAAAAGTTCAAAATGGTTTATCACCGGTCAAAAGCGAATCACCTCCGAAAGATTCTAATTTGAATCATTATAGAAATGAAAAGGTTGTGCCAGTGAGTATTATTAGAATGAGGGAAATCCCACAACCTCATTCACGATGACGATGATGATAATCATTTTTTTGTTTTTTACGCAGTCGTCTCGCTCTCATGGCGCTGTTACAACAAATTCATCATCGGCAACAACAACAACCGCAACAACCGACAATCGTAAAGAGGCCAAGGAAAAGAGAAATTCAAAAGATATAAATTTTATATCAGAGCACAGAGGGGATCATCAGGAAAAGTCATCGAATTGGAAATCGGATATGAACAATGCGAACAGCATAAGTTCGAGCAGCAACAGTAAGTTAGGTGTAGTACCCAACAGTATTCGACCGTCTTCATTCACGGGCGTCGTGTCACCCCTCATATCCGAGGTGAGTTTTTTCCCCTCCCTTTCTTCCACCCCTTCATTTAAAATTTTTAACGTTTTTTTTTTTGTCGAATGATTTCTTAGCTCGAAAGAAGACACCTGTACAATTCGCATTCGCACGATTCCATGCATCAAAAACCCGACGTGATAGAAGAATTAAGAACGGCTTTCGATTTGGCTGAACTTTCGAGTCCGGGATTTACGGATTTGTTCGTCAAAGAACTCGTTCAGAAATTGGTACCTTCAATTTCGGATATTCGATTGAAAACGTTCATGGACAAACTGACAAGGTAAGGAGAAGGGGATTTAAAATCCCGTTCCTTTTTTTTTTTTTTTATTATTATTTTTTTTAACGCTTGCGAACGTTCAAGCCGTTCACTCGTTCACACTCATTTGTCACTTTTATTTGTTTTTTTTTATTTTTGTTGTGTTGTTTTCGCTGTTGTGATTTTTTTTTTTCTCCATTTCAGTTTTTCCAAAATCAAACCTTCTTAATCGTGATATCCATCGTAAACCATGCATAAATAAATAAATAATTTATACATATGTTTATATTATTATCATTATTATTATTATCATCACTATTATTACGTTATAATTTTTTGTCTAACTTGTAAAAAAAATGTTATCCAAACAATTGACAAATGAAAAATAATAATAATAATAAAAATAAAAAAAAAATTCTGAATGGAGAGTCGACGACGTAAAAAAAAAAAAATGAATCCCGTAAGTTTCTATTTGATTTTTTTTTTGTCTCTCGTTTGTCGGCATTCGTTTGTCGTATCTGTTTGTTTGTTTTTGTTTTTTTTTTTTGTTTTCTTATTATTTATCGCATTGCAATTTTTTTATTACTGTTGTTATTGTTTTTTTTTTTTTTTCCAGTGAATCGTCGTAAAAATGCTGTAATATGATTATTTCAAATTTTCTACGTCGACACAACAAACAAACGTGAAAAAAAAATGTACGAAGGATAGAGAGAAAGAGAGAGAGAGAGAGAGAAAGATGAAGAGAGAGGGGAGAAGGGGGGGGGAAATAAATGAAAGGATTTCATGTTTTTTTTTTTTTATTTCGAAAAGAAAAGAGAAGAAAAGAAAGAAAGAAAGAAAGAAAACGTGTGGTTGTTTACTTTCATTTTTATTTTATTTTATTAATTTTTTTTTTGTATTATTATCATTATTATTATTATTTTCTTTATTCATTTTAAATATCTGCCGTTTCCGCTGAAACAAAGGAAAAACAAAAAACAAAAAAAAAAAATGTGAATGATGACGTATTGTGAAAAGTTCATGTTGGTTTTTGTGTTGTAGTTATTGTTGCTGTTGTTTTCATTTTCTTTCTTTTCATTATCAAAAAAAAAAAAAAATTGCCATTGATGATGATAACGTTTTATTCATTTTATTATATACATATATATTTTTATTATTATTATTATTATTTTCTTTTTTTTTTGGTTTCCCGAGCGATGGATGACGTTCGCCCGGATATTTGTTTAATTATTATTATTATTATTATTATTATTTTCGAAATAGAAAAATTTTATTTTTATTATTACATAAATCAAAAAAATTTTTTTTTTTTTTTTTGCGTTTGCGTTTGTTGCATATACACGCGTTGTCATTGCACGCTCTGATTGATTACGGTTGTTTTATTATTATTATTATTATTATTATTATTATTATTATTATTATTATTATTATTATTATTATTATATATTTAAATATTATTGATTTTTTTGTCTTTCGGGAATAGACTGAAATAATTATTTTAATAATAATAAAAAGGGGAAAGACTGGAAGACAAAATATATTAATTTTCAATCGTTTTGGTTTTTTTAAATTTATCATTATCATTATTATCATTATTATTATTAATTTTTTTTTTTTGGTAAAATTTCTATATATTTGTATGTGTAAAAAAAGGAAAAGGGAAAAGAATTTTCGATTATTTATTATTTATTTTTATTATTTTATTAATTTTTTTGCAATGATAAAATTATTTAATTTTCACGCCCCGCCTCGCGTGTCCCGCCCCCTCTTGTCCCTCCCGCCCCTCCTGTACCTCCCTCTCTCCCGCCCCCTCTTGTCCCTCCCGCCCCTCCTGTACCTCCCTCTCTCCCGCCCCCTCTTGTCCCTCCCTTTTTCCCGCCCCCCATGAATTATTTTTATACAATTGTACATAAAGTATGTGATTGAGAACTTTGTATAATAATAGAAATATATTTATATATATATATATATATATATATATGTGTGTGTGTGTGTGTGTGTGTGTGTGTAAAACGTATAAGAATACGAAAATATATATATATAAATAATTAAAAAATTTTTTTTTTAATAATATTGTATTATTTAAAAAGAATTACGATTAATTTTATTGTTTTGTTTGTTTGTTTGTTTGTTCGTCTGTTTGTTTTTTTTTTTTTTTTTTTACTGTGCCAAACGAATCAAACAATAAAAAAAATTTAAATTAATTGAATGAATTTTACGTAAAATAATTATTTTTTTGAGGGTAAACGTACGTGCGGATTTTTTTTTCTTTTCTTTTTTTTTCTTGCATTAATAATAATAATGATGATGATGATGATTTTCCAAGATTTAGGGTCTACGATCCCGTATGGGGATTTTTTTTTTTGTTTACGTTTGGCAATTTTTATTAATTAATTATTCATAACACACGCGATTATGATAAATTTAAGAAATGAATCATAATATAACGAATTTTAATTTTAAAAAATTAGTCAAAATTTATTATTATTAATAAATAAATAAATATTTTCAAAAACGATTATTAATTAAATAAATAAATTAATTAATTAAACGAAATATAAATAAATAAATAAATAAAATTGTTTGTTATTTAAAATTTGTTATTTAATTGTTAATAATTTAAAAAATTAAAAAACTAAAAAAAAAAGGAAAAATATTTAAAAAAAAAAAGAAAAGAAAAAAAAATTATTTTTTTATTGTTTAATAATAATAATAATAATAATGATGATGGTGATGATGATGATGATGATAATGATAATAATGTGGAATGTTTAAAATGGTCAACCAAAAACGAGTGTGTGTGTCTGTCTGTATATAATATATACATAATGTAAAAAAATGTGTTAAACGGTTACGATTGAGATGGCAATAAAAAAAAAAAAGAAAACTTTTATTTAGTCGATAGATCGATTAATCGATCGATCGATCTATCGATTATAATAAATATATATGAGTGTTGATGTTTTATTGAAAATTATTAATTATTTATTTTTTATGTCGATTGGGGGTACGTTATTTTTTTAATTAAAAATGGTGAATAAAAAAAAAAAAAAACAAAAAAAAACAAAAATTTATATAATAAAATTTTATTATTCTTATATAATTACTATTATTATTATTATTATTATTATTATTATTATTATTATTATTATTTATTTATTTTGAAAAAAAATGAAAATTTAATTTTTTTAAATTAAAAAAAAAGAAGCTAATTTGATGATAATAATAATATTAATTGTATTTCAATATTTTTCTTAGGGATTTTTTTTTTTTTTTTTTGAAATATTTTTCCATTATCAGAATTCATTTTAAATATCGAAATGAAAAAAAAAACAATTATTATTATTATTATTATTATTATTATTAATATGTAAAACAAAAAAAAATAAAATTTTAAAAAATATTTATTTATGATAATGATAATGATAATATATATGTCAAATAAGAAAAAAATAAAAAATTTTTAATGTATATATTGTAAATGGTAGATAATTATTATTATTATTATTTTTAAGTAAATAGGTACAAGTATTAGGCCTAATGTCAAGAATTAATTAATAAAATTGTTGCCTCATTATTTTAATTAAAAAAAAAAAAAAAAGAATTAAAAGAAAAAAAAGAAAAAAGAAACAAAAAAAAATTGTATTTTTTTAAATAATGTATAAAAATAAATAAATAATAAAAATTAAATAAAATAACGAATATTATACATATATAAATATATATAAATAAATAAATATAAATAAATATAATAGTAAAAACATGAATTAATTTGTCACGAATGGTTTTTATTTGTATAAAAGAAAAGAAAATGTGTGTGTCGGATAATAAATGAGAAATGATGAGAGAAGGTAGACTTTGATTTTTGATTTTTTTTTTCTTAAAAAGTTATGTAAACAAGTCATCAGATTGTTTTTTTATGATTTCATTAAAATTCAGAGTCTATAGCAAATAAATAAATGTAAATTTGCTTTTTAATAAAAGAAATAATATAATAACAATAAATAAAATGTTTTATTTAATTTAATTTAATTTTTCTTTTCTTTTTAAAAATATAGGATTGATGTCTTTGAAAAGAATAATGGAAAATTGCAAATTTGAAACGTCTAAATATTATTTTGTCAAATTGTCTAAATAATAATAATAATAATAAAAATAATGTTAATTACACTAAAATTTGAGTTTTTGTATATAATTTTCTTTTTCTATTTTAAAATAATTTTGGAAAATTTAAGGATTTGATAATCATAATAAGAAAGCTATCATTATATTGAATTGCTGTTATTAGATTTATATTTATAATATTTTACGTTAGGCTTATACCTACGGTTTAATTATATAAAATTAATCATTGAAAGTATATTTAAGGAAATACGTGAGAAAAGGGAAAAAAAAAAGTAGTATAAAAATAAATAAGAGAAAGTAAATTTTACATAACACTTACCATGGCGTTTGTTTTTCGTTAAAATTTGTTCGTTATTTCATAGAGTAAAAAAATATATATGTAAAAATTAACGGAGGCTTCGTTAGCTAAGCTCACTGCTTTTTTACATAAAAAATAGAAAGAACGTAAATTTCTAAATTCATCCGCACATTAAATATGGTGATTCGTAGTTGATGGTTACTGTTGGTTAACTTAATACTTAGTACTAACTTATTTAAATATAAAAAATGGGTCGTTCGAGATCCCACAGTAAATCTCCTAGAAGACATAGTAAAAGTAAAAGCTCTCGTAAACGCTCAAGATCTCGAGAAAGAAGTTCTAGAAGTCATAGTAAACATGGGGACCATAAACGAGACAGGTCGAAAGAAAGATCTTCTAAATCAAGGTAATTTTTTTTTTTAATTAATTTTAAAAAGATAAAGTTTTTTAAATGACAATTAATTATTTGAATTTTTTTGAAAAACATATAAGGAAATTACATAATATTATTATTTTTAATTTTTTAAGTGCATCTCAATCTCTGAAAATTCAATTAACCTCTCATTTAACATTTTTGTATGAAATAAAATTAATTTAATGTGGAA